CCTGAGCTGAGATCAAGAGTTGGATGCTTAACCGACACACCTCGACAACCCAGTATTTTGTAACTGAGGGATTGTACATTGTTTTTTAAACAAAATGCTATTGCACATTAAAGAGTGATATTCACTTTTTTTGCAGTTGTCTGGAACTGAACCTGCAATCTCTCTGAGGTATGCCTGTACTGCTTTGCCTTGCATTTAAGATTTTAGGGCCGTTCTCCCAGGATAATCAGCATACTGTGTGATTCAGAATGGGCCCAAGGAGAAAGCCACAGAAAAGTGCCGAACTTCAGGGGATTCCCTTGGGGCAACTCACCTCATAGTGGAGCCGTTAAAGATGGCAAGGGCGTTAAATGTCCTGTAGGCCCACTACATGTTTTTATCTTTCCTTGTAGCTCCTTCTGCACTGCCCTTTACTATAGTCACATTAATTTCCAATATGCTTTCTTGTGGCGCTTTCATTTAGAATATTTTTATGTTTCTATATTTGAAACATACCGCTTATCTGTTCAAGTCCACTTTTCAAGTGCTCTCAGTGTCTGTTATGTCCCAGACACTCTGCTAAATGTGGAGGAATTCAAGGCAAAGAAGACAGGCCCTACACCTGAAGAATTTGGTAGCAAGGTTCTGATAGTTTTCGTACAGAGATTCATCTGTTGACTAATCTTTTAATTTACAGCTTCTCTTACGATCTGTGCTTGCAAGTTATCAATATCTGAGGACGGATGTAATATCTTACTTTTCCTCTCATTCATATCATATACTTTGATGACTTTTGCTCTGCTTTCTTGCGCTCTACATTCCACAAAAGAGCATATAAAATGATTAAAGGGTTGGAAAATAAAGCCTATGAAAAATTACTCGTGGAGCTGGGAGTTTATTTCAGGGAGAAAGAAGAAGTGACATCTTCTCACTGGGAGGGTTGGTAGGAGGAAAAGAGTATCTAAAACTGGTCTTCATTTTCACATGGAAATAGATTTGAATTATAGAAAGTGATTTTCGGTTTGATAGAAAAACTTTGTTTTTCTTTTCTTTCTTTCTTTCTTTTTTTTTTTTTTTTGACACTAGCTATGATTAAATGCGGACAAAAGTTATATAAACTTAAGGAATTTATATCCGCAGCTATTTAAAAAAATGGGTAGAAAGTAACTGATTTGGGAAGATTAGGTATGATTCTAGAAATAGGGAACAGGATTTGCAGGGCTTCTTGTAGTCCCTTTCCTGCAGTTTCTCCAAAAGTACAGTCAGATAGCTCAGAAGCATCCCCTCTCTTTAAGGAGCAGAAAGATCTCTGTATTCTTTCTTCATGCTTTTTTTCTATCATTATCTCTTTATCATTGAATACACAGAAATTTCTCTTAATGAGAGGCCTACAATTGCTGTCTCATTTGGGTGAAGCTGTACCAAAGGAAGCAGCAGCTTCAAAAAAAATTTTTTTAATGTTTATTTAATTTTGAGAGAGATAGAGCATGAGTGGGGGAGGAGCAGAGAGAGAGAGAGACACACAGAATCTGGAGCAGGCTCCAGGTCTGAGCTGTCAGCACAGAGCCCGACGTGGGGCTCAAACCCACAAACTGTGAGATCGTGATCTGAGCCCAGGTCGGCCACTTAACCAACTGAGCCACCCAGGTACCCCGGGAATCAGCATCTTCAAAGACAGCATTAGAAAAATAGAAGGTCGGGGTTCCTTGTTCTCTTGAAATGGGCAACAGATCTCATAGAGCTTGTTAAGCATTCCAGAATGGCTCTTTGTGATTAAGGCTTCTTAGCCTATGAGATCTTTGGTGTTTTGTTTTCTCTTTTAAAGGGACAGTATATGATCCCTTTTGATATTTTACCAAACACAACAAAAGGAAAATGAACCTAGAAAAATGACAGTGCTGAAGTTTTGGGTAATAATATATCAGCAGATTTTCACTGAAAAGTATGATTTGCCATTCACAGAATTGTGACTGTATTTAAAAGGAAAAAACAATAATATAATGTCTCAGTACACCAGTTTTTCAATTTTGGAGCAGCAATGTCCAACATTTAGGGCACACATATAATGGCTTGGGGATGCCGATCCTTGTCTCTGTCTAGCTACCTGCTAGCCGGCTAGGAGGAATCTTTACAGAAGACAGTAAGAATCGATAAGATGGAAGTTACATATTATGCTCAGAAGTTTTGGGCCAAGAGAGCGTATAGAATTTCTGCCTGTGCTTAACAGCTCTTTCATTCTCAAATCATGTATAATAAATTGATTTTTAAATAACAATGGTGAATCGCATGCAATAAATTATGTATGATTATATATATATTTTTACTGCTCAAGAAAAAAACTGATTACCTTCTCAGCAGAAATGAATAAAGTGTAAACTATCAGATAAAGGCTTCCTTAATTGTAATTTACTTTTTTATTAAAATCTGGCTATGCATGATTAGCTTGTTTTAACAGTAACATAGAAAAAAAGTTCAAAAGGGAAATCCTGGTTAGTGGTCTTAATCAAAATGAACGTCCTTGTAGACACTTTCTAAATATAGCTCAGAAAGAATCTGCACTTGGTTGCCTTGGAAAATGTTGCTATAGTTGCAAGACGCATTTCTGGAAACGGATGAACAGAAAGTAAACTTTCACTTTGCTCTGGGTACAGGATATTTCTAGAGTTAACTTTTGGCCTCAATCTAAGTAGGGTCAGAGTCCACTTAATTTGCTTTTTTTCTTCTTAGTTTTGCCAAAAGGTGCTCTTCTGTTGGATTCAGCATAAGTACCAGGAATGTGAGTAAATGTAACTTCCTATTGATGACAAAACTAAAATTTGAGGGGATTTAGTAGTTCAAACTGTAGCAGTTACAGCCACATCCTACGTATTATTCAAATTCTCAAACATTCCTGGGGCGCCTGGGTGGCTCAGTTGGTTAAGCGGCTGACTTCAGCTCAGGTCATGATCTCGCAGTCCGTGAGTTCGAGCCCGGCGTCGGGCTCTGTGCTGACAGCTCAGAGCCTGGAGCCTGTTTCGGATTCTGTGTCTCCCTCTCTCTGACCCTCCCCCGTTCATGCTCTGTCTCTGTCTCAAAAATAAATAAACGTTAAAAAAAATTTAAAAACAAAACAAAAAAAACAAATTCTCAAACATTCCATAATACTTCCCCTTAAAAAAATCATTAGGGAATAAAATTTGCAGTGAATGAAGTTTTAGAATTCTCCATCAGTTGATCACATTAATTAACCAGGTTAACCATGTGTCACAATGCTATAGGCCATAAATTATTTTATTCAATTGGCATGAATATTTAGCTATGTATTTCCATTCAAGGTAATGATTTATGACTTGAATAGGGATTGAATTGTACATTTCTGAAAATTAAAAATCTGGGGATATTAAGATTATTTGTTAGAATACTTTATTTTATTATGCATGTAAAATAGCTAATTAAAAATAATTGGAAGAAGCGGCCAAGAAAAATACAAGATGAGGAGCATGACAATTCACTGTCAGCAAGAGTCATGATAAAGTCAAATAAAGTCCCCCAAATATATCTTCAGTTCCCTGTCACTTGAGACTCTACAACTCAAGAAGAAAACAATGGAAAGTACTTTTTAAAAAATCAAGTCCACATTATGCTGACTTTTGGAGAAGTAGAGATGGCTCAGTGAGCTCTTCAGAACTTCTGACTTCGATGATACAACCTTTTCCTATTTTTAGCACTTCCCAGAATCTGATTTCATAAATAACTAAAATGGGACATTTGGTAATCACATCGAATATTCCATTCTTCCATTGTGATAAATGAGGTACTATTTTCATTCACTTCATCAAGATTTTAAATTGTCCAGAGAACATTTGCATATATTCTTAGCTTACTTCAACACAGGGTCATGGCAAAAGTTGATTTGATACACGATAGGGAAAGATGTAAAGCCTAAACATCCAAAATTCAATGAAACGATTGTTGCTAGGTATAGTCACTTCCAATAATGGTGACAATGATACGTAATATTTATTTACCTGGTGCCATAATTTTGCTATCCTGCCAGGCCAAGAGCATCCTATTTTTCCTTCAATTCTGTTACATTCTTTTGATTTTTTTGGCTACGCATTCTTTATTTCTACATTTTTATAGCTCTATTTGTATAGGAATTTTATATATACATTCAGTAATTAAAAGGTTAGGAAATAAAACCTGTGAGACAATACTAGACTGATTTAGGGATTTTATTTCAGAGAAAGTAACTTATGCATGTTCTCCTGTTCAATAATTGCAATCAACTATTGTTGGTTAGAAAATGTTATTGTATTTGAAAGAGGAGCAAGCTGGGGCACTTGGGTGGCTCAGTCCGGTAAGCATCTGACTCTTGGTTTCAGCTCAGGTCATGATCTCAAGGCTCATGAGTTCAAACCCCACATCTGGCTCTGCTCTGACAGTGCAGAGCCTGCTTGGGATTCTCTCTCTCCCTCTCTATCTCTTGCTTGCTCTCTCTTTCAAAAATAAATACATGAACTTAAAAAAAAAAAAAGCTGAGCAAGCTGAGCCTTAGTGGGGTCTGTCAAGTCACTTATTCAAAGACATAAAGGGGGCAAGTGAACAAAGCAAAGAAATAAAGGGAGCCAAGTTGGAACCCAAACACCTGTTCTTGCACCCACTTAAAGGTTAGATTTAACCACATCTGTAGCTCTAGCTCCTGTTATGCTAAGTTTTTGTTCTTCCATGTGATAGTTCTCAAGTTTTCCTAAGTTTCCCATCCTTTAGAACCAAATCTGCATACATTAATTAAGCATTATTATCCATCTCATGCATATTTTCTACACCCCCCCCCCCATATTCCTTCTGGTAGAGATGTTAAACAAATGTGTTTAAATGAGTTGGATAAAGCACATACTTTATTTACGGGCATTTCTTCCCATTTCTTCAAATTCCCTATAAACAAATTCTTCTTGGCATGTATTATAGCGTTACTGCATTGGCTTTTCATGCTATAAAATGGCTGGCTTGGGAGTGAGGAATAGGTACAGAGGGTACATATAAGAATCAACTGGTTAGCTCTCTTAAAATACCCATTAATCCCTCCTCTCTCTTAGAAGCACAATTGACCTTCCCACAATGTTCTACGTGACATTATGTTAAAGCTCACTGCCACAAAAACCTCTTACACTATCAATGTTTAGAAATAATTAACACTGTTCCAGAATTGCACAAATGCTTCGTAGATGATCTGAGATCTGAACTCTGCAAATATTTCATGAAGTTGTAAAAGATTAAATTAACACGTGTCAGTACAGTTCTTGATTTGTGAAAAGCCACCGTTTTACAATTAGCACTAAAGGGAGACAACGTGACTCCTGAGAAACTTGATTACCTTTGCAAGAGTGACTTCTTTTATCTATGTGAATTCTTCCTGAGGTTGGGACTGTTTCTTCAAAATGGAGTCCAGCTGCTTTCCCTATTCCTGGAGGAGAATCTACTATTCCTGAGAAGAGAGGCTTTTGTTCATCATCAATGGATGAGATGAAAGATGAAGATCTGCTTTTTTTCTCTTCAAAGTGTTTCTTGGAACTCTGATAATGTCTTATGGTATCTACAGAGTCTTCGGGACCATTTGTACTGTTCCCTTTGCCAAAATCTATCAAAAAAATTATTTTATAGAAGATAATCAAATGTGAGACTCTATGCATATTATACTGCCTAACTATACATAAACTGCCTTTTTAGGAGTTATGGCCTTTAAATAATTTTAACATAGAATTTCCTTTAAAACCACCAGAAAGGATGTTCATTCTCCTTTTCCCATTGAGAATGTAGCTACCTAAGGAGAATTTTTTTAATTCAAAGGACATTAGAGTATCTTTGTGAAATACATATCTGTTTCAGAGTTAAAAGAATATCTGCAATAGCAATAATGTTTATATCTCAGAAAAGAAAAAATGATAACATAACCTTATTTACACATGCTCAACGGTCATTTGTATTCTTAAAATCTGGTGCAGTATCTCTTTAAGGAAAGGGAATAGGGAGGGAAAATATGTCCCAATTCTAAAATACCACGACTATGCACCTTGTTTGTTTTTAGCCTTCATGCTCTCTCATGTGGCAGCCATTCACGCATGGCAAAGGTCAAAACAGGAAGCCTCCTCGTAGCAAAGGCTGAACGGATGATTTTCAACCTTAGTTCAATGTATGTAAAGGCCTTGACATTCCAGGTAGTTTGGTCTTGTGGCATATTGCAAAGAATATAAAGCTTAAATACAGTAATTAAGGTGAGTTTACCTAATTACATTAAAACCAGCAGTGCATATTGGCTGTATTATACTGAAATGTCAGGATAATTTTAGCCCTGAAGGTTGTGTTAGAACATATTTCAGCAGGAAAAGCTCAAAAAGACAAATCCTGAAACTTGTTTCCATTAGTGTCCTGGGGAGACAGTATAATTCCCCATCTGCTTATGGCTAATAACTAACCAACACAACTCCAGAAAGTATAGTATTTTCAAGAGAAATGGCTAAGACGGTGTCCCCATCTACTTAATGCCTGATTGCTTACTCTCTTATTTATGGAAGAGGCCAAATGAACTGATTTAAGGCCACTCCAGATAAACTACCAGCGATTCTTTAAAATTCTTATATGGCATAGAAATTAAACATAGAATTTTTCCTTTATTAAAAAAAATATATATATATATCATAATTTAAAATCTGAGAAACCAGGGACGCCTGGGTGGCTCAGTCGCTTAAGCGTCTGACTTCGGCTCATGTCATGATCTCACCGTGATTTGAGCCCCACATCGGGCTCTGTGCTAACAGCTCAGAGCCTGGAGCCTGCTTCAGATTCTGTGTCTCCCTCTCTTTCTCTGCCCCTCCTCACTCACTCTCTGTCTCTGTCTCTCTCAAAAATAAATATAAACATTTAAAAAATTTAAAAAAAATAAAATAAAATCTGAGAAACCAGAAAGCAGCCCAAGGTAAAAAATGAATAGAGTTTAAAAATCAACTTGATGTGATTAAGGAATTAGTTTATGTCCTGTCAATTAAAGTTAAATGTGGCAAAACCAGACTGCTTAATTTAAGATTTCACATTTGCTCAATGATTTCATCGTTGAGCAGAGAAGATCACAGATCGTTCTGGTTTCCAGCACTGTGGGCAGCATTGGTTTCTCGGTGTCGCGTTTCCCCACTGAAGCGCTAATCTAACTGCCTGTAAATATTCAGATCAGCATTTTCTTTTCTCTCCAGTGACACGGACATGACCCTTCTTAAACTTCTAGAGTTCATTCTTGTCATCTCACCCTCTGTTTTTTTTTGGTTTTAACTTCTCCCCTCCTGAAAATTTGATCCACATCCCCATCTTATGAACATATTTCATTCCTCAAAAATAATAATTGTTTCCAATTGTATGCTAGTAAAAGTAAAAAAAAAAAAAAAAAAAAAAAAGCTTTCCTTTTCTAAATTGTCCTCACACTTGCTTAGTGAATTGCATCAGTTTCTTGTACAGCAGATAGGTGCAGTTTTGGGCAGCAGTAGGATTTGAGTCAACTGTGGCTTGGCTTCTCATCTTCTTGAAAATGCCTTTTTAAAAAAGGCATTTTGAGTTTTGAGTTGACTCAAAACACCATTTTCTTATTCCTTATTAGACAAGTCAAAACTTCACATTTTATCATATAAAATGAAAGTTGAAAAGACAATTTATTTATGGCTTAAAAATGGAAACTGCTCAGGGTTAAGCTGGAGGTGGGTTGAAGGAATACATGAAATTAGGCTAAATGTATTATAATTAGCCTCTGGGTACCTCTAGATTTTGATGGACTGTTCCATTTCTGTGTTTTTTTTTTCTAATTAAACTGAATTCTTTGATAGATATTAAATAGTATTAGATACTGTTTTTTCTTAATACTAGTTTTTTCTTAATGCTATTCTTATTCTATGTAGAAATAGTACTCTGAAGTAAGCTGAGGGAGTTTTACATTTTCCCCTTTGCTAGAAGTGAGATTGTATGTTTGCTCCTGTTCCCACCATTTTACAAAGAAAAAGTTTTGCTTGTCGATCTGGAAGCAAATGCTTGTGCTCACTCCATCTTTTATGGAACCTTTATCTCAGATTAATGACCATTTTTATTCATCAGACCCGATAAATAGGTGCAAATTTTGGTCAAAGGGAGGCATTTAATGTGCCCTGTCAGCATTTGAGTTTTGTATTTTCTATTGGTAACAGTTTTGGAATAAACTGAGCATTTTCCAGCTAGATGCATTTTAAAAAGTTATTCCATGAAAAATTGAGGTCTAAGATAAATTTTTTCATTTTATTTCAAATACCTTAGTTTCTCTCTAGCTTCAAGGAATGTTGAAAGGGGACTAGTGTCATTTTTCTATACAAATGCAAGATAAAAAACATTCAAGCTATCTTAAAAATGAAAATAAGCAAATCACATTTATATATCACTAAAATGCATAACAAAAGCTAGCTACTGTTCTCAGGAACTGTAGGACCTCTTCCTACAATGACCTTAATTAAGTTGGGGGGTTCTGGGGCACCTCCAATCCAGAATTTCATGAAAGAAAGAGAACTACTTGAAGATTACAAAAAAAAAAAAAAAAAAAAAAAAAAAACAACAACACACCAAAAAAACACTAGATATTCTGAAACTCATGCCTAAACTAACAACTCTCTCTTGTTGAGAAGTAGGTTTATTTCATCAGAAGAAATGTGAAGCTCATGAGGACAAGCACGTTTATTAACACATTAATTCTAAGAGATAAGTCCAAAATGTCTAGCCTCTATTTTGTTCAAGTCAACTTGCCAGGGATTCTATATACCTTTTCTTTTTAAATATTCTTTCTTTCTTTCTTCTTTTTCTTTCTTTCTTTTCTTTACTATTTTTAATGTTTACTTATTTTTGAGAGAGAGAGAGAAAGAGAGAGAGAACACATGCAGGGAAGGGGCAAAGAAAGATGGAGACACAGAATCTGAAGCAGGCTCCAGGCTCTGAGCTGTCAGCACAGAGCCCAACGGTGCAGGGCTTGAACTTGTGAACTGCGAGATCATGACCTGAGCCAAAGTAGGATGCTTAACTGACGGAGTCACTCAGGCATCTCTTAAATATATCTTTTTGAATGTAAGCTCCTTAACAACATGTAGTTGGCATGATTGTAAGGGGTAGGGGGCGGTAAGGATTGAAGTCTGAAGAGTTCCGGTGCCTTAAGTAGATAGTGGATGGCACTGTAGGACTTAGCCTCTCTCTCTATCCCCAGTGCTCAGCTTTGTGTTCTTCTGTCTGGTTCTTGGTGCCTCTGCTGAGTGATTCAGAATCATCGGCGCTCTTGGATGTCTATGTTTCACACAAGCAGTAAACAATCGATGCATTTCATGGGCAGCTTTTAGTTGATGTACTTCCACAGTATTTAGCGTCAATAATTTTCTAAAAGTTCCCTGTTCTTCATACTAGTGTATGTGTTTTTCTCTTACACATTAATTCTACACCAAGATACGTATCAAATGAGTGGCCACTCATTTGTGGAACATTAAATTGAGTCCATGGGGACTAAATTGCTTTCCGCAAATTTTATACTTGCTGTAGTGCTATGGAGTCCTAAAGACTAGTGCTAAAGTCTAGAATGGGTTCTCAAGCTGTGTATAACCAGAGTTAATTTGTGTTTTCTCATTGCCCAAATCATGCTTACTCACTGACACACCAGGAAATTTCAAAGAGAGGCAGGCAGGCAGGCAGGCATATCCCTTACTATCTACACTTGATATAAACTAAGTCTCATAGATTAAGACTGTGATTAAAGGAAAAGTTTCCAGAATTAATAGAAATGTCTAGTTGCATGAGCACAATATACATTGTGACACGCTCTGAGGGCCTTATCAGGAGATATAAACAGCTTATTTAGCTTGAGACTGAGGAAACTAAACAAGATTGAAAGGAGATTTAATAAATCTTCAACTGTATGGGGAACATTATTATATAGACACATTTTCAAGTTTTCTTCATCTCCAGAGAGATAAAAATAAGAGATTAACACCAGGATAAGGGATTTTGGTTAAGCCTACAGAAAAACAGCTTGACAGTAATCGTGCTGATTTTAGAAAAAGTTACCAAGAGAATAATGAAAGACACTGCAGAAATAAATTAGCACCTATCTGAGTGGCTTATTGTTCTGCGATCAGCTAGAGGACTCAACAATTAGCCCAATTAAGCAAATATGTATCAACCATTCTTTGTTAAAGGAATCTACATTTTTGTAGAGAAAAAAGACAATAAGCATTAACCACTGTGCAGGGCATATTTTGACAATATCACCAAAGGAAACTGACACAGGAATTCATAAAAGGAATAAAATCTATATATTTGGGCAAATCAAGAAAGAGTTCATGGTGGGGAACATCTCTCTACTTGTTAGATAGATGCTGCCCAATTCACAAATTGCTTATAAAACCAATTAACATCTCTCTAAAAAAAGAGAGAGAGAGAGAGAGAGAATTAATGTTGAATATATCATTGGAGATTAACCATGACTAAAAAAAAAAAAAGGTAATTTTGGATGGTGGATGAAAACAGTGGTGTGGTTGCATGTGCCTATGCTTGAGGATAGGGAGGTAACTTCTGATTAAGGGAATGGTAGAAGCAAAAAGCCACATGATTTACATGGAAGAGAGGGAAGTGAAGTTTACTCGAAGTGTAGTGAGTGTTGAAGCTAGTAGACAAGCTTCCCAAGGGAAAGAATTCAGAGAGAAAAGGGCCAAGGAAAGAACCTGGATGAAGGCAAAAGAAGAAAATCAAAAGGAAGATGCTCAAATTCTATTTCATTATTAATTCGCTCTTTCAACAAATATTTGCTGAATACCTGCTGTGAGACAAACACTGAATAGTCTTTAGATGACTTATAGGTGACACAACTTATAGGTGACTAAATATTTCCCACCTTTATAGAGTTTATAATCTAGGGACAGATAACATCAATTAAATAATGATGCCAATGGACATAGAAGTACAACTGGAATTAATGCTGCAAAGTAGATGAGCTACTGGGAGAAAGCCAGATTAGGGTTGTTGAGGGAAGGGGAAGTCCTTAGACGGCTTTAAATATGGGCATGACATAAACATAACTGCATTTAGAAAAAAAAAATCACCAGTGGTCCAGAAAATAGGTAAGAGAGGGGCAAGTTAGATCTGGGGAGGTGAGTTGGGATGCTGTTTCGGTATTCCAGGTGACAGATTATGGTAGCTTGGCCCAGAGTTGTGGCTAAGAAGGTGGAGAGAAGTAAACCAAAGGGACCTCATTTGAAAACTAAACGAACATGTGGGGCACCTGGGTGGCTCAGTCGTTGGGTGTCCGACTTCGGCTCAGGTCGTGACCTCGCAGTTCGTGGGTTGGAGCCCCGCGTTGGGCTCTGTGCTGACACCGCAGAGCCTGGAGCCTGCTTCGGGTTCTGTGTCTCCCTCTCCCTCTCTGTCCCTCCCCTGCTCGCACTCTGCCTCTCTCTCTCAAAAATAAATAAACATTAAAAAAAATTAAAAAAAAAGAAAATAAATGAACGTGTAGTGGAGAAACAATAACAAGAATTGATGGAGAGGTTGAGAGAAAGTCACCTCCTAGATAGATAATTGGATTAGTGCAATTGATTGGGTTGTGGTTCCATTTAGAGATCTGGTAAATGATGGAGAGAGGTTTCCAGAGGGCCATGATGAGTTCAATTTAGGGAATGTTCAGTTTGGGCTGCCTTTGAGATTTCAAGTCAGTGTTTTTTGTTTTTTGTTTTTTTTTTTAATTTTTTTTTAATGTTTATTTATTTTTGAGAGGCAGAGTGCAAGCAAGGGAAGGGCAGAGGGAGAGTGAGAGAGACACAGAATCCAAAGCAGGCTCTGGATTCTGAGCTGTCAGCACAGAGCCTGACACGGGGTTCAAACCCACCAATTATGAGATCATGACCTGAGTCGAAGTCAGATACTTAACAGACTGAGCCACCCAGGTGTCCCACAATTCGATGGTTAGTAGGCAGTTGGATATATGAGATTGAAGCTCAGATGGTCTGGGATTACAATGTGAATATTCACATCTCTTATGTGAGAATATAAATAATCTCAATATAAATGAGATCACCTAGGAAAGAGTTCATATAGAATGAGAAGAGAAGAAGAGCTAGGGCCATACCTTGAGAAAATCTAATAACTAATAACTGGTTTAGAAGATAATGATCCTGTAATTCTCCTCAGGGAATTACTGAGCATAGAAGGAAAATAGGAAGAGTGCAGTAACACAGATGCCAAGAGAATATTATTCAAGAAAAAGAGGGGACTTGTTTTAATGAGAGCCAAATAAGGTGAAGAATAGAACACTTATTGGATCAGCATGGGAAAAGTGTAGATGCTTCTCCAGAAAAGCCTTCACTCATCTGCCCACGCACAATTAAATATACCTTCATCTGGGTTTCCATCGAGGTTATTCTGTTATAGCACCTGCTGTTTTTATTCAGAATTATAAAAGGTATGTGCCATCTCTCTTCCTAGGAAGGGTAAGGGCTGTTTTACACAATTAGTTTCTCAGAAATTGAGTAGTTCTTTAAAAATGTGAAATGTTAAATATTTTTTGAATACATGAGTGAAACATAAAGAATAGTTAGAAGGGCAGAAAAACCCAGAGACGAGTAGGAGTGGCAAGCACTTCAGAGGGTGTAAGGATGAAGAGACCTAACAAATACCACCTTCATCCATGTCACACACGCCTGTGAGAGGGTTTAGCACTCTGGCTGTCACAAGGGTCCTTCTTCCAGAACACTCTGTTCAAGACTTTGAGTGTAGTTATTCATCTGCTATTAATTGGTCTCCTTTTTTTTCCCTCTCTTTTTCTTTTTTAACCAACCTACTCTATATCTCTGTGATGTCCCTGTAGATATCAGATGGCTTTGCTGAATGACATCATTGGTAACTATCAATCAGAAAACACATTATTAGCTACCGAGAACAGCAAAGGATTTGCCTTTCTAAAATCCAAATGAAACTTACCCATGAAATCAGTAGCAAATGGGCATTTAGTAAGAGGAGCTAATCACCACATGCTCTACGTTTAAATTTTAGAAATAAAATGAATTACCTTTGTCTCCTTCACTATCAAATGAAAATTTCCTTCTTCGTAGCTTACAGTTGTCTCCTTCAGAATCATTCACAGACTGTGATCGTAGTAAGAGATCAGCCTTTGTTAATGGACATGAAGATAAAATGGAAGATTATTCAATTTGAACATATTATCAGTAACTTCTCTACTGTTTCATATCATTTCAACCACTTTGAGACTTAACTATTAGATTGCAGGCAAATAGCTACAATACTTTGTTTCCCGGTTGTCTCTAAATTATAAAATGGACTAATAGAATAATTCAAGTAGTTTCACCATCTGATGGGGAAATCATAGTTGTATAAGTTATTTATCAGAAATGTTTAGGAATAATGTCAACATTTAGAGACAACATATTTCTTCATGTAGAATGTATTTTATGTAACTTGGTAAAGTTAAAATAAAAATAATAATTAAAAAAATTGCAGGGGGCTCCTGGGTGGCTCAGTCGGTTAAGCATCTGACTTTGGCTCAGGTCATGATCTCACGGTTCATGAGTCTGAGTCCTGCATCGGGCTCTCTGCTGTCAGCACAGAGCCTGTTTCAGATCCTCTGTCCCCCTCTCTCCCTGCCCCTCCCTTGCTTGTGCACACACTCTCTCTCTCAAAAATAAATAAATGTTAAAAAAAAAATTCAGAATCTGTATTACAGCGGGGAAAAAAGTGTAAGCTAATTATAATTAGCTATGATGTTTAAATACATGGTAATGATTACAAAGTTAAATTTCACAACAATAAATATAAAGTTAAGTTCAATGAACACTATGCTGTAAGCATTTTCTTATTTTGAGCTATTTATTATTTCTCTTTCCTCCCCTTCTGGAAATTATGATCATTTCTGTAATAAAAATGGAAGCTCCCAAATAAATAAAACAAATGGAAGTTCCTATTTTCTTTATTTGCTTGCTGCTTAAACTTTTTTTTTTAATGTTTATTTTGAGAGAGAGAAAGAAAGTACACATGTGCAAGGAGCAGAGAGAGAGAGAGAGAGAGAGAGAGAGAGAGAGAAGCCCAAGCAGGCTACACACTGTCAGCACAGAGCCCAACATGGGGCTCAAACTCATGAACCGAAAGATCATGACCTGAGCAGAGATCAAAAGTCGAATGCTCAACCGACTGAGCCATCCAGGCTCCCCTGGTTGCTACCTAAACTTTTTATGTGAAGAAGTTATCTGGGGAGCCTGGGTGGCTCAGTCCCTTAAGCATCCAACTCTTGATTTTGACTCAGGTCATGATCTCATGAGATCAAGCTCCATGTTGGGCTCCACACTGAGTGTGGAGTCTGCTTAAGATTCTCTCTCCCTCCCTCTGCCCCTCTCCCTACTTGTGTTCTCTCTCTCTCTCTCTCTGTCTCTCTCAAATACAAAAATAAATAAATAAATAAATAAATAAATAAATAAATAAATAAATAAAATAAGTTATCTTGTTGTTCATCAAGGCAAAATCAGAATGAGGCTGGTGACATTAAACAGGTTTTAATAAAGTACTGAATTCAAACCATTATAAAAAATATATGCTCTTGATAACTTGAATCTCTTATCGCCTAGATATTTTTCAACTTCAGTGTTTTGAAAAGAAGCTATTATCTGAGCTGGTGCTTCAGATTATGAAATGGTACCCTGGTGACCTTACAAGTTTATCCTCTTTAAGTCTCTCACAGTACCTGGGAATGACCAATTCCGGGGAGAATTAAATCTACTACCTTTTACCTAACTATTGACTTGAGGATTTTTTCCTTCCAGAGAGTATATTAGTTAGCATTAACTAAAAAAAAATAAACAAACAAAAAAAATGCAAGAAAAAAACCCAAAAAACAAACAAACAAAAAAGTTAGAAGTTTCAAAAGCCTTAACGTTTGATTTCTGGCAAAAAGCTGTTTAGAATCAGAGCTGAGGTGATGGGGTTTTGGGGAGGAAAGAAGGAGGAATAAACTAGTAATAAATTGTAGACTGCAATTCTGTATTCTTAGCATAGTGATGTCATAAAGACACATTTTTAATAGTAGTAGAGAGTGAAAGAGACAAAGGCTACACTCTTAAAATTCACTCAAGGTTAAATTATGTGTAGAATCATTTAAAATATTATTTCTACTAGACCATATGCTATTCATTCTATAGCACTAATTTTGACTCAGGTTTAAGCCTGATTCATTTATGTTTCTGTGATTTGGAAATTGTGTGAAATATGGACCTAAACTTGAGTGAGTTTAAATGTTTCATTTTTATTGAAAAGACATTGCTAACCCGTGTGTGGTATAAATAATAGCTTGGAGAATATTCTAACTCTTGTGTAAAATAAGCTCTTCTAGGGGACTTAAATAGCCTAAGATCATTCATTTCTTACAAATAATTGGCACACTCAATATAAACCAAGGCTATTTTAAATCAAGTATGTCACCTAAGTGTTTCTGAAAGGTCAAATTTAATTGACGTCCTTGAAGTTATTCAATATATTCGAAAGTAATTAGACAGAATTCCTTCCCTATAATTTAGAAATTCCAAAATTAAGAGTTGGTATCCAAATATTCAGAGTTGGTAAAGTTTTGCTATATTTTGCTTGATATTGCAGAAGAATTTTGGCAATCCAAGAATAAAATAAAATGTCATAAATCCAAAAATAAGTAAACCATTAACATATACCTTTGCACTCTCATGCCTTAGGTTAAAAGTCAACTCTAAGTTTGTGAGAAAGTGGTCGGAAAACTCAGGATACATATCCAAAACCTCTAACAAGTCTTCTCTCTGGATCTTATGCAAGTCACAGTACGTGAGAGCTCTTACATCTGCATTAGACTTTCCAGGTTTGGCATAAAGATGAACCATTTCTCCAAATATATCGTTTTTCCCTAAAAATAAATAAATAAATAAACAAATAAATAAATAAAGGAGGTAAAAGGAATGTGAACTTAATGCTTTCTTTCTAAAAATACAAGGGGACCAGTGACCAATCCATGGGCCAAGGAATTCAAATGGAAGATCCCCTGGCCAACAGACACTAGAGCCTCAAAATTCCAGTACCTCCTACTGACTGCCTCAGTCATGTTTGTTTGCTGAGTGGTATTTTACTTCTTAACATACTGGTCCTGAAATAATGACTATTATTTCCATGTTTTGATTTTTTGGCTACATGCCTAGAAATGTGGCAAATATGCCTTTAGTCTGCTATGCCTTACATGGCTAGAAAAGGGTCTTGCCATCCAGTAGGTGTGGTCCAATTTTGTCAATCCAGGAATATGAGAAAGGCAGCAGTGAGTCAGATTCACAAACTTTCTATCTCAGGATGGTCTCCAGGGGTGATGGCAAACATGGGGGTATAGTGGCACACTTTCAACATTTAGAGGACTAGGGGTATAATTTGAACATACCTTGTTTCCTTTACTAACCACTTTCAGATTTGCCCGTAACGACTCTGTCCAATTATTGAATATATCTAGCTTTATTTATAGTCTTGCTTTTTACCAAATGGCCTTTACTCTAAAAGTATGTCCTCCTTGCTTTCTTGCCAAACCTGGGATTATCTCAGTGTCTGGCTTCTGATGGGTTCTCCTCATCCCCTCTCCCTGGCCACATGCCACCTACTTTTCCAGGCTTTGTTTAATACTGAGGATGATGACAGCAACAACAAATGCTTATTAAGAATTAAGTAGGTGCCAGGCACTGTGTCAAATGCGTAGGTGAATTATCTCATTCAATCACTAAAATAACTTCATAAGGGGGCGCCTGGGTGGCGCAGTCGGTTAAGCGTCCGACTTCAGCCAGGTCACGATCTCGTGGTCCGTGAGTTCGAGCCCCGCGTCGGGCTCTGGGCTGATGGCTCGGAGCCTGGAGCCTGTTTCCGATTCTGTGTCTCCCTCTCTCTCTGCCCCTCCCCCGTTCATGCTCCGTCTCTCTCTGTCCCAAAAATAAAATAAACGTTGAAAAAAAAATTAAAAAAAAAATAACTTCATAAGGAAGTTACTCTCTATTATTTAAATACTATGACTATGACAAGAAGATTGAAGAGGTAAACTGATTAGACCAAGGTCACCTACTTAGTTGGGTGAAGGGAGGGAGAGAGTAGCCATGTTTAAATCCCATGCATTCTGATTCCAGTCAAAACTTTTTCACACTTGATATGTTTATCTCCTCCCAATATTTTACCTGAATGTCATGGCCATTTAGGTTTTTCTGTCTCTGAATGTCAAGACACTTAAAAATTATAGCTGTGAAATAAATGCTTAATAACTACCAATAAATTATCTATCATAGATCTTTTAAAGATCATCAGTGTAAAATGGTACTTTCTTATATATATCCTGAAGCTTCTTTTCAGATTTAGAAAAAACTTTTTGGATCTGTTAAGTTATTTTTTGACAGACAAGCTTATATATACCCAACTATAGAAACTATCAAAGACTTTTAAGTGATAAAATTCTAACCAGTCAAAAAATGCTATAATGTTCTTATTTTAAATGTGAATTTAATGGGTAGAAATCAGAGAGCACATCTCTATGACAGAAACTGATATGGGAGAGAATATATTAACTTTGTTTTAAATAAATACTTAGCTTCAAAATGGAACGAAGAATCATAATTTGTGAGGATTTTAGGTGCAGATTTACATGGAAATGGGGACAGAAGAAAAGAATCTCTTGAAATTCTTTATCGTTTTAATACTTCAGTATAGATATTGTCAAAGAAAAGCTCTCAACTAAATTCAGCATGGGCTTTGCATCTTAATTAGTTTACACGACTGTAAAAATGAGCAAAAACTAAGCCAGTCATCATGTATTGCTTAACTACACTCTAAAATTACTGTTTTATAAAGCAAGAAGTCTTGTTACCTCCCTGTAGAAGGTGGGGCAGGCTCATTCTAAGATCAGGAAAGCACTGAAGCATGCTTCTTCCCTGGCAACATACAGAGCAAACTGTCAAGGCCGAATGTGGTGAAAATCCAACTTACTATGTAGCCACTACCTGATTTATGTTTTTATTCTTTGCCTTATGCATCTTGTCAATATGGGATTTTAAAAAACCGTCATTAAAATAAAATGATCAAAATATACAGGAATCACTCAAATTTCTTTGTCCTGTGCTAGGCCATACTCTGGTCCTACTAGGCAGCAGAGAAAACAGACAACATCCTGTCCTTTTGGATGTTGACATCAAGAATCTAGTGAAAGGAAGTCATTGAATTACACGTTCATTATCTAAATGGACCTGGATTTAATCCACAGGAAAACAAAAAAGTGCAAATGTTCACAAACATTGGGAGTGGATGTTCCCTCAGGGAGACTGAGTCTTAAGGCTGCTGGCTAGGTGTTAGGGACGAAACACTGATCTCCTTTCTCTCTGCTTCCTTCCTCTTCCCCACTCTTCTAACAGTCCAAAGAAATCCTACAAGTTCACACTGACTAAATTTGCTTTTGAAGACACAGATTGGACAGACGGACATTCTTTTGCACCCAAACCAGTTTAATTAGCTAGTAATTTTAATTTCCTCAACACCTTTATCCCTGAATGCTAAGTTCATAGCTCATAGTTCATAGGCCATAGTTCACAAGTAAGGACTATGTAATTCCATTTGGTGGGACACAGCAAGTAAAAGTGCAGAGCATATAGATGAAACCTATCAATACACAGACACAGTTCATGACAAGGCATTGGCACATGCTAGCAAGTAACCCACAATGGACACATTTTATTTAAGGTGTTAAGGGATCCGAAATGAATCCAAGGCCCTCCAACATGAAAAGCGAAGTGCTGACTCTTCTCATACATTTGGGTTCTGATGTTTAAGTAGCTTCCAAGAACTAAAGAGAGTCATGGAAGTGTTTACACATTGGAGGAAAAGCGAGATAGTCAAGAAAATGTATTTTCTACAAGGTCAATTTGATTTGAATTGAATTTTAAATAAAGCTTTAAAATTACTATCAGTCTTAAATAGTACTCGTAAAGAAACAGATCAATCCTTTTTTTCTATCATTTTAAAATACACATTGCACCAGCTAACAACTGAATCTGTCACCATCCAGTTCTAAAACACTCACCCAGAATAGCTACCACAATGTCATCTTTGAGGATTTCGATGGAGCCTCTGGATAAGAAATAAAGTGCAGTGAGAACATCCCCACAGTGAACCAGGGTGTCTCCTGGAGGTGCATGGGTGGTCTTGAACTTCATTGCCAAAGCTCTAAGGCAACCTTTACTTGCCCCCCGAAAGGCTTTGCAGTTTTGCAGCAAAGTCTGGTTGAGGTGTAGACAAATATCAGCTTGTAAACATTCTGGGAAACCCTTTAGGACCTGAAGAAAAAACATAAAGAGTTTCATACTACCAGTGCACAGGGTACATCCACTTGAAATAAAGTATATTTCTTGCTCCCAGAACTGCAGGTGTAGTCATTGTCACACGAGTTCTTACAATGCTTCTACCTCGCCAACCTTAATGAATACTTGGTTTGCTAAACATGTCAGAATTTTAACTCAGATACTTGTTCTCTGAATTAACTGCAGGCATTCAGACTCAACACAAATGCTGTCTCATTAAAATGTGATGCCGATGTTTCACACTGCTTCTCATTCCCTGAATTATGTGAGGTAGCATCATACTGTGCACATATATAATGCAATGTGACAATTAATAAGACATAACTAATGAGAGGCGGTACAGCTAGGAAGACAACCTTTTGAAGGAATCTCAAGTCAATTTGGATTGCTATCTCTGGTATACATTTTAATTATAATTAGTAAAAATAATGATCCTGAAATAGCCATGGCATTTGTAAATGTCATATACAAGAGAGTGCTCTTAGCTAACAGTACGTGGAATATTTATGTTTCATACGCACACTATTAATACTAAATATTTTGATAAGCACTGAAAATAGAGAAAGGGAAGGATAACAGCAAACATACTTTAAAAGTATAGTTCTGTTTTCAGAAATGGAAATCGTGCCAGAGTTTACAATGCAAACATAAAGCTTCTAACAGCACTACTGTTTTGACAACTTATTTAGTAACTGATTTAAAACTTGTAGAAGAAATTAAATAATAACTTGTGACAAGTGCTACTCAGTTTAAACGGAATAAAATTGTATATTATTTTATAAAAATCCCCAGGATATGGGCCAAAGACACTCAACTCTTACTTCTCTTTGTGTGTCTTAGTTATCTTGGGTGTCGTATCTAGATTTTAATTCTCATGTTGACTTTCCTCTGTCATTAAAAATAAATCCATTTAAATATGCTTTGGAGTAGAGGGAGGAGGCAGCACATAGTACCTAATAACGCAATTTTAGGATTTCCTAACCTTTGGATCAACCTTGCTATTGCTGTCCGATAAAGCTAAAAATAATCATGAATCATTTGTACAGATAATTGAAATGTATATGGTCCATAGGAGAACTTCAGCTTAGATCATATTTGAGTTACCTTACACTTATTTCTATTTTACATGTTAAAGCAGCCACAGGTCTACTGCATCTGTAGGACCACTGTGTGATGCAATTGGTCAGACCAGTTGTGGTATCATACAAACGGATCAATTAGAGACCTAAAACATGGCAGCCACTATCTGCAATCTTGTTTCCTTCACGGTAACGTCACCCATAGAAATGGGTCAAGGGTGTTTTAGAAGAAAACTCACAGAACATGAGTTCTGGTCATGAATTTGCCACAGGTTGACACTTGTGCAGTCACTTGATCTATCTGTGTTTCTTTGCCAGAGAATAAGAGCTTTTACAATTTTGAAAATTGCCGTAAGTTACCAATGCATAGTGTGCCAATTGCTAGATACCGCTTACCCAGCTCCAAATATCTGTAGGAATTCAGACATTTGTCCCGAAGTTTCTGTATTACCTGGCTCAGACCTGAAAGAAATGAGCCTTCCTCTGAGTTCCTGGGCACTCATCTGAACCTCTGTGCTTAACTCTCCCTTTCAGACTTTGTCTACATGACTGGACTTCTGCCAGATTTCCTGCATGGACGGAAGACCTCTCCAAAATGATAACTTGCCTAGTCTTTGCCCATTTTTGCTTTGGGGGGCTAGTGGATCTTTCTGCACTCTTTGTCAGATCCTACACAACCCAGCTCCTCTCCTAGAGCCAACCCTCTGGTACGTCACTGATCCCTCCCACATGGGATTTTTTGGCAAGTTATGCTAGACTAGAATTGAGTGATGTTGTATACTGTTTTCTGAAATGGGACCACTTTATTTGGAGGTGTTACAGTAGGAAAAACCCCAGTTCACTGGTCTTCCTACACATTTTTCCTCCCTGAAGCCCATTGTTGTGGTCTTGGCATGATTCTCAGATGTCCCCAACCAGGTAAAGAGGTAAAGGGCCTCACACCAAGTAACAAGTTAGACATGCTTATTTTTCTCCTAAGATTTTGCTTATTTATAATAAGGCACAAAAAGACATTTTATATTTCACATAAGTGGGGAACTAGCACTTCTACTATAATAGTTGGAATGAGATTATTGAGCTTATAGCTGCTATTTCTGGCATTTTCCTGAAGTTCCTCCATTACACTTTCTGAGTATAGCTTGCTTATAAAAGGAAAAACTGTGCATGTGTGTGTGTGTGCACACGTGTACACAGGTGTGTATGCATGCTTTGAATTGGAAGTTACAGATAAGATAGACATAGGGACTACTCACTTCTCTGAGCACATTAGATGCGCTATGGAATCAGACAGGCATGAGCTGAAGTTCTAGTTCCAACACTTACTAGTTGGGACTTTGGTCGATTCAATTCAATTTTCTTGAGATTCAGTTTCTTCAATTGTAAAAATAATTAATAATATCTACCTCACAGGGTTGTGCTCACGATTAAATGTGATAATGTATGTAAATCATCCTATCCATTGTAGATATGCCATAGACAGTTTATTTCCGACTCTTTTTTGTCATACATATTTGTTGTTCCTGAAGAGCTGGTAAATTATCTTTAGCCAGAAATTGAGATATGCAACATCTAATGTATTCTCCTTGGTCTCTGGTGAATAGAAAATTCACCACTAACTTTTGTGTTCCATTGTCTCAACAGAGTTTAAGACTTCTTTTTTTCTCTCCTCTTTCTAATTTTTGTTTCCTGTTTCTGACTTGTGTTAAATGTTTTGGCTTACTTGCACTTAGGTTTTCACTGTGAGTGTTCTTAAATTCTTTTTGAAAGTAGGCATTTACTAAATTAATATAAATATGTTATTGGAATTCCGATATTCTTAGAAACACTCAGAAGACCATGAAAGGCTCTTGGGAAAGTCTTTCAACATCATTCTACTCTCTTCTCAAGTGTCCTTGTTAAGTGTCATTTCCCTAGCATTTATCCTATCAGATGTGACACCCACTGGAAAGACTGGTCTCAAGTTGGAGGTACCATAGAGTTTCATGGAGAAGTCTTTGCTTGTCCACAGAGAAGATACACACCTGTTAGCATGAAGGACTTGTCCAGATTAAGGAATTGTCCTGTGGGGTTAGTCCTTCACTGACTTTCTTGATTTTCTTAAGTCAGTTATGTAGATCACTCAAGTAAAATTCCATAGGAGTTAATATTTAGTAATTGAATGTCTTACTAGCCCAGAGATTTAAATGTCATACATAAGTCAGCAGCTTATGTATGAATCTGGGGCATGCCTAAGTAAAGAGACTTTATAAAAGCAGAGTTAAAAGACAGAAACAGTAGAGAAATAGAGGTAGAAGAACACTGGAAAGAGTGAGGAGAATGGGGTAGGTTTAAATAGTAGTCATCGGAGACACCCATTTCCATTGGTCCCAGCAGTGTTCCCTTCCTTACTTCCTACTGATTCATTGTACTTCTATTTGTCAGTTTTAGTTCCTCTGCTAAATTCCCTGACACAGAACTTCTTCATTTAACACTCAAATATTGGCATTTTTACCAGGCCTAGAAGATCTGGCAGTAAAGGGTAGCTATGTCAAACACACAGGTACAAACTAAGACACAAGCTGGCTTTGTGATTGTTAAAATTATTTCTACTCCACGCAATATAACCTTCTCTGTCAAGTTCTGAAGCTCTGAGGGTACACAGCACCTTTCACTGTGTATCTTGAGTCATTATTTATTGAGTTAATTCGATTTCAAAGACCAAGGAACATCACAGAGAATCAAGTTCATGGCCTGCAGGTAGGAAAAGTAGCTCTCACTCTTTTAGCAAATATGGAATAAGTATCTACCCTGTACCAGGCACTCTACTGGGTATAGAAGCATAACTATGAAAACACACACACACACACACACACACACACACACACACACAAAACAACAACAACAACAAAAAACATGTTCTGAAAATATCCCTGAAAATTTACCTAAAGCCCAGATTTAAGTGCCCAGATTAAAAAAAAAAAAAAAATATATATATATATATATATATTTCCCATTGTTTGCTCTGCATGGACATTTATAGCACACATTTGGACATTTATAATAGACATTTATAATACCCATGGTTGTTCAAATGAACCCTCAAAATACAGTTAGTTAATTAGGTGAATGAAAAGCTCTCATTGAACTTTTCTAATATTTGCAGTTATGAGGGATTTTTTAAACTTTCTGATGCTCCAGAAAATTTTTTCAAGGCTAATAAAAATCTCATGTCTTTTTTATGGTATAAAGTCACTTGAATATTTTACAAATGTAAGGTTATCTCCCCTTTACTTCACTTTATGTGAATAAAACTCTTTGGGATCCTCAAATTATGTAAGACAAATGAGACATTCATTCTTTTGAGTTTGAAATGCTTTCTGTGATTGTTAAAAGCAATCAACCCATAGTTTAGTATCAAAGGACCCAAAGTTTAAGGGCATTCAAACAAAGATAACCCAACAATTACAAAATACAATAGCATGATCAAATCAAACTAAAACTCTGAAGAATCACACAAAGAGCAAAAATGGAAATAACTATTCCATTGTAGGCACCTATCAAACATGATTGAATATTAATTCAGGAGTATTTAACTTTACACTAAACTTCTCTCAAATGTGAATTTGCTGACACACACCTAATGGAATAAATACCTCAATACTGTTAATATTTGCAATTATGCAGTGTGTGAAGTCAAATTTCTTCCACACTGAGCAATGAATACAAAATTTAGAAAGGAATGGAGGCTGAGGTTAATATAAACCTGCAATTTCTGATTTGATATGAATGTGCCCATCAAAATGACATTAGTCTCATTTTCTTTTTAGTAAGCAGATCTTAAATTAAACTTTTATACCTAGGTCAATAAAAACAATTATAGTACCTAATTTATGTATTGGGGTTTCAGTGAAAAACAAA